AAATTTTTATTGGATAATAAATTATTACCCGCGTTTTGTCGATACAAATATACCAGAATTGTTCTGGAACAACAACCGGGGCTGTTTTCTATATATTTGCTATCGGGAGTCGAGAAATAGAATTAAAAAAAGAGTTCAGGCAAAGTTGAATTAAATGTTGGCTCGATCAAACTTTTTCGTGATATATTGTTGTTTTTTCTTCACTTTCTTCCTAAATGCTGTAGTGAGTTATTTTTTAACCAGTTTTGGGCATTCATGGTATTTTTAGTTCTACACTGAGAGAAAAAATTTATATTGAAAAAAATTGGCATGGTAACAAGAAATTAATTTGTTGAAAATTTTAAATAATTTTATTTCTTAGCTGAAGAAATAAAATTTTAATTTCAAAATAACTATTAAAAAAAAAAAGTTTTAGATAGACAACTTGCGAATTTTCATTCAAAATTGTTTTTTCCATCTAGAACACTTTTTTTTAACAAGAAAGTTAGTGTGAAAAAAATTTTTATTTCAGCTAAGAAACAAAATTTTTCAAAATTTTGAACAAATAAATTACATATTACAATATTGCTCATTTTTTTCTGTTAGAGTACTCTGTTCAAAATTGTTGTAAAAAATTTATTCGTTTATAAGTACAAGGTTTTCTTGAATTAAGAAATGGTATTTACAGTTTGAGAAGAATATATTTAACTTAAGAGTATTGATTTCTTGGCTGAAGATTTTCTCAAAATTGTCCTCGTACTTTTCAGAGAATTTACTCTATAACTTTAATTGTTAATTTAACAAGATTATTGATAAACAATAACATCAAGTTAAGAAAATTGAAAAAATTTTAATATTTTAATTATTAAGAGAATAAGCAAAATTTTTTGGTCAGTGTATTTATATGATACAATGGGTTTTTATGGTTAAATTTGGTATCATTGGAAAAGTCTTGACCTGGAGTTGTGCCTTTTCATGATTTCATATCATTCTCACCAATAGTCAATTTATGATGATAAGTATTTAGGCTACATTCGAAAATGCTTTATCTTTAGACATAATTAAGAAATGACCTTGTATCTCCTGAACTATTGACATTTTTAAAGATATACGCTCATCCCGATGTTATACTCATCAAGACCTTTCATTTAAGTACCCACATCAATTTTTCATATATTTATATATATGTATATATGAAAAATATATCAAAATGCATGTGGGTACTCAAATGAAAGCTCTTGATGAGTGTAACATCGGGATGAGCTTATATCTTTAAAAATGTCAATATTTAAGAAAGTACAGTGCAAATTAACTAAAGTCATTATTTAATAAAGCAAAATTTTATTTATTTATAGTTTACAAGTCACGGCAGTCACATAGTGACTGCAAGGTTGCTAGTATTTAATAATTTGTATTACAAATTTAAAAACTCATCAATTTTGATTATAATAACCATTAATAGTATAAAAAAAAATTATTGCATCGATTTTAAATTGATCAAACGCCATAATTTACTAATTTTTAAAGAATCATCTATTTTTCTAAATCAAATAAATTATTTTTTTCTACTTACTTATTATCTTAAAAAATTATCAAATTTTTTTTTTAATCATCAATTTTTAATCCAATTAATAACATTATTTTCAAAAATTAAAATCAATATTCTTTTCTATCATCCTATTTTCCAAAAAATTAAATCTTACAAATTCTCCAACCCAATAACAATAAACTTTCCATTAAAATTTCAATTTACAACCCTAAAAAAAGCTAACCAAACTTTTCTCACCCATCATTGCAACAGCTCCAAACTCAGAAGCTTCATCTCCAAATAAACCTCCCTAAAATATCTACATCGACATACTGCACCCATTCCAAAAATACCTCGATCTCGCTAATGAAATAATTGGAACCGAAATTGATCCTGGATAAATAAATAATACCTGAAACTCAGAAGAGCAATTAATCCCGAAAAGTTTGATCTTGCTCAAGAACAGAACGTCAGATAAGCTTAAACTAAAGTCTAAGCGATTCCATAAAAGTTGGGTGGTATAGCTCCCTCGTTGAAACATCAAAGACTCACTTTGCCGAGCGAGACTTAAACTTGCCAGGTCGTAGGTCATACGTATAGAGTCTACAGCGGATCTAGAATCTAGATAGGTGGTAGAGAATCTATGAGGTAGTAGGTATGAGGTAGCTAGCAATTCGTACGTGGATGTAGGAATGAAAAGGTCGGAAAAAATAGAGGTAAAAATTATTTAACGATGTCTGTGTCGTGTGTGTAGGTTGTAGGTTGTAAGTTGTTGGATTAGGATCCCGGAATCTAATGTAGACTCAACTTATGGACTGGTAAATTATTGTGGATACGTGGATGTGTGGATATGTCGTACTATACATGCATAATTAAATGATATTATGGAGTGTAGAAGAGACTATAGAGTGTAAGGCGAACTATAGGCCATTGGTGGGCGAAAAGGTGCGAGGTCAGGTCGATCGCGGCTACTGGGTACTGGGGTGAGACCTTGACTCACAATGCACACCACCGGATAAAAATGCGCAGCCGCGTTGTTATCATGTCTTATAACTATATGTTCACTGGTAAATAGTTAGCTCCCTCGTATTTACTTGTATTGTGTGGGGGTCGAGTGGGTGGTTGGGTGGTTGGTTGGTGGAACAAGGTGGAGTAGGTAGTAGATAGTAGTAGTACTACTACATTGCTCTTATAGTACGCGATCAGGATGTAGTGGGTATCCTGTACAGGTATCCTAGAGCTTTGCCACTTTTGGAACCACGTGCCGTCGTATCAGACGTAATCAATTGACTCGAATCCCCTGACATTTCTAAGTGCTCGGTGGAGATATAGGTAGAGATGCTCTACAGAGTCAATACTTAAAAATTAGCAGACGATCGAGGAGGTGTGTTTTCCTGGCTGACATCTGCTTTCTCGGTCGCTGCTTTTTAATTTTCAACTGGGTAGTGGGAAGAGAAATTCTCGGATAAGGATTACCATATATATTGTGTATAATGATAACTGTAATGGGAATTCACTCCTGGAAGATGGACCTGGAAAATGGATTCATATTAGTGGCGGATCTAAAGTTTTAGTAGTTTAGAATAAATTTTCTCTTTGGGTTAATTCAACCGATCAATGGAATTTTATGTTCTGAGAAGCTTATAGAATATTTTAACCCTTTTATGAATCATGCACGGAAAAAAAAAAACTCGAAAAATTACAGTATATGATGCAACGTGGCGCTTCGTGATAAAAACTGAAAAAAAAAAGTTTCAGATTGTAATTATTACAGATTTTATAAGAATTAAATTGTAGAATGTAATATTTACATTGAAAGCTCTGGATATTAAATTAAAAAATTGAATTTAGAAAAATGTTATTTCAAACTGTAATTTTTCTAGTTTTGATTACGATGGGACCGATTTTACATTTTAGACTGTAATTTTTCGAGTTTTCTTTTTTCCGTGTGATGTTGGTTCACCAGAAAATGGATAATTTATTTTTTGAAAAATGTTTCATTGAGAGATTCATTATGTAGTATTTTTTTTTTTTTTTATTATAGTTAAATTTGATGGATTTATGAGGAAAATTCGTTTCAGCACTCAAGGACGTCAAGATGGCGGGGGAAACTAAAATGGCGGGCTCGAGAAATTCTATTGGTTCATTTGAAACAGCCAGCGCCAAACGCGGCAAATTTATTATTTAAATGTTAATCTAACATACGTTTTGAATTTTGATTTTTTAAGGGGCTATATGCACTTGGAATTTTTAAACAATTTATTTTTTTACTTTGTATTTGGACATTTTTTTAAGTATATAGAAAATTTTCAAAGCCGGTGAGCAAAATTTATCGAAAATGGCTGATAAAATCAGTTTAATTTTTACACTATTTTTTTTTAACTATATTTTTCAGTTATTGATCCAAGGATTACTAATTCGGATGAATATTTTCTATTTTTATGAATAATTAACCCTAAAATTGATAGTTTTTTTATGAAGCCGTCATTTTTTTAAAAACAGATGTACTTCCATAATTACTCCGATTAATTATTAAATAATATCTTAAATTAACCAAAATTTTTTGATTTTTGAATATCGATGATTTAAATTGAAGATATCGTACTCACCGCAAGTAACCTTTTTAAAAAAAAACTTCTGTAGATCTTCTAATACAAGAGCTAGAAAAATAATAATTTGTAAAAAAAAAAAAAGAACTTATTATTAAAGTTCAAAGTCACTAATATGTGTTAATCAATTTTCATATTAATTAATAAAAAAAAATTCTTAAAAATTGCCTTTTTACTAATTGCAAAGCAATTAGTAACTTACCCAATTGATTTTTTGGCTAAAATTGCAAAATTGCACGCCTAAAACCGACTTGACCAACCTCAAAAATCCTTCAAATCTTTTGCTCTTAGCAAACCACAAAAAAGGCTCAGGGTGAAATCTACCTGAAAAATGGACTGACAAGAGCATGGAAAGCTTTTTAAAATCTGTCAAATAAAGAAAAAAAAGACACCTTTTGAAATTTGATTTATACAACAAAAAGTTCTAGATAATCCAATTTAATCCGGAATGAACAGTTATATCACCAAGATATAGACTAAATGTAAACCAGAAGCTATTTGCGGTTTAAATTGTATATTATTCACGGTGTCCTTGACAGAATACTCGCGAATAGATATCGTTGACACAAATGGACGCTATATTCAAGCTTAATCGAGTTTCGTCACAGAATAATATCTGTCTTACAACTTTACTCCATCCAGAACAGTACAATCATAAATTATTAAACTCGATTAAATTTTAATGGACACTGATTTATTGATTTGTTCTCGCGTACTCCGGTATACAATCTTCTTCCTATGAATAAACAATAAAATTTATAAAATTATTTATCAGTATGTTATTCTAATTCAGATAAGTTTATAATATTTTGATATTTATTGATCACATTGATTTTTTTTTTTTTATGCAGAACAAACTAAGGATGTGAGAAAACAGAGAGCAAATGCCCAACAAGGCTCGGCCTCGTCGTGAGTGGCCATCTGAGTCCCTCATAAATGTTTTGTAAGTTTTTTATACTTATTATTATTATTATTATTATTATTATTATTATTATTAATACTATATTTAATTAGAAAATTTTATTGTAAAACAAATTTAAAAAAAAATTGTTAACAGCTTAGCTAATAATAATAATAATAATAATTTTAATATTTATTTTTTCTAAAAATTTTTTCTTTAATTTTTCGTAACATTGTTAGCCTGTATTTCCCTCCAGGTATAAACAATTTATCCTCAATTCATATCTAAATTTGTCATTAAAGATAAATTTAACTGAAAAAATAATTCGGACGGCCCAGACCAGGACTCGAACCTGGATCTTTTGGTTACGCACCAAAGACTCTACTTGTTAACCTATCTGAGACACTGTCCACAATTACTATTCAGTCACCTATTAATGATAAATTCAACCATGAATTGTAGTTCTAATATAGTATGATGTTAATTTTTTATCTATACATTTTTCCTTAACCTCTTGTCAATACATTTTTAAAGCTGATGATATAACTTTTAATATTTATTTTTTCTAAAGACTGGTTTTTTATAATACTTTATATTTTTTAGTTTATTGGCTGTCCATAATACAACAATTTTTTCTCTAATTTTTCGTATAAATTTTTGTTTATGGGAAAATACAATATTTATTTTTTCTAAAGACTGGTTTTTTATAATACTTTATATTTTTTAGTTTATTGGCTGTCCATAATACAACAATTTTTTCTCTAATTTTTCGTATAAATTTTTGTTTATGGGAAAATACAGGCTAACAATATTACAAAAAATTAGAGAAAAAATTGTTGTATTACTGGACAGTCAATAAAATAAAAAATATAAAATAATAATAATAATAATAATAATATACCGATCTTTGAATCAAATATTGAATATATTATTATTATTATTATTATTATTATTATTATTATATTGTTATTATAAGCTGTTTACTATTCAGTGTTTATAATAAAGTACGGCAGACTAGAGCTTTAGAAAATTTGTCTCCAAGTGCAAAAAAAGAGGATGAAAAATCGATGTTGATTCCCGGGGGAATATCTTGAATATGTATTTCTAGTGTACGTATTAAGCTCCTCAATTTTCACTGAGAAATGGCTTACAGTCACGAACTAACGTCTTATGATAGTAACTTTGGGTATAAAAATCATTTTTTAGCTCAATCTTACATCAATCAACTTGAATCAACGTCTTAATGTCTGAAATGCCCGAGAAATTGCTTTTGTAAACTATAAATAAATAATTGCTCTATAGTTTTTTTTTAGCAATTACCTCACTTGTTCTCAAACTTCCTTATTTCCATAAACGTCTTGTACTTTAATTCGTGATAAAATTTTCGCAATCCGCCTGATCATCAGCGACCGCTGATGATTAGTACAAAGGGAATCCGTTAGATGGCGGTGATATATGTGACGTCATTAATCTTCATAATTGGCTACATTGGTTAAACCAACGCCTTGTATTTTATATTACTTTTTTAATAAAAAAAAAAAAAAAAAAAATAATCTTCATAATAAGCAATGTGATGTATTGTTAACACTTACTGTTTAAGGATAAAAAAAACCGCGCATCTTCAGATTTAAACTTATGTCATAATTTAATAGGATGTTACCATAAAAGCTCTCTCATAGAGCTTGTGTGGTAATGATCGGCTTTTTTCTCATTGGCAATATTTATATTAAGGATGTTCATGCAGTATGCTAGAGTCAAATGAGTACTAACTTTTTATGAAATTTATTAAGGTCTTGAGAAAAATTTTTAAGTATATCAATAATCTTATAATGATTTATAATTTTGTTTTATTTACCTCAAATATTTTTTAGGCATCTATTTTAAAAAAAAATAGTGAAAGAAAAATAATAAATGAAAATAATTAGTAAAAATAAATATGAAGGACATTGTTGTTTTTTTATACATCAGTCTCATTTTTGTAAAATTGAAAAGTATTATTTTTAAAATTAGAAAACAGTCAAGTAGAATTACAATTCGTGTAATATAAATAAAATTTTCTGGTAACATTACATTGCACTGTGTAATTTTACAATGAAAATTGTAAAAATAAAAGAAAGCTTTTTAAATTTTTTATGTGATTATTGTACTATAAATTACAATATTTTTTTATGATTTTACATACAATTATGCCGAATCAAATTACAAATAATGTTTGCAAAATTAAAAAGCCTTTTCTTGAAAATTGACGAACAGTTCTGTAATATTACAATGCGTATTAGGTTTATACACAGCTTAGAATATGAATTTACTAGCGGTCACCCATCCAAGTATTTATCATGACTAATGCGTCTTAACTTCAGTGATGTGGTGTCCTCTGGTCTGCCTTGGCTAGCTGCTCCTAATGAGATAGTAAATTTTTTTTCTCTGCATAAGCTCTTATGTTTACATAAGATTATAAACGACTTATAGCAACGATAAAAAACTTGATATTAACTTTTCTACCCAAAAATAAAAAAAAATACTTTTCGATTTAATTTTTAATAAGTAGAATCACTGAACGTTTTGCTATTTACGATCATATTTTTATAATACAAAAATAAATACACAGCGAAATGAGTTTACTCGAATGCGATTATTTTTATTTTTTTTATCATTTTAAAAATTCTTTAATAACGTGAAAAAAATTTTTCTAAGTCCCATATTTTGACGAAGTACAAAATCAGAAAAAAAAACCTATTCAAGAGCTCCTATTCTTGATGTCTTACGAAGTCAGAAAAAAAGAACTCTTAAAGAGCTCATATTTCTGATGTCTTGGAAAGTCCAAAAAAAGACCTCTTAAACAGCTCATTTTTTTGACCTCTTACGAAGTCGGAAAAAAGACTTCTCAAAGAGCTCATATCTGTGATGTCTTATAGAATTTAAAAAAAAACTTCTTAAAGACTTCTTAATTAAGAGTTCCGAAAAATCAGGTCTTTAAGACGTCATATTTGGAGTTCTCAAGGAAGTCTTTGAAAAGACATCTTTAAGAAATCCTTCTGACTTGGATGTTGTCTGGGTTAATATTCTTCAGAGAATTGGAACCTAAAAATAAGAAACAATTTTGATTTCGCTAAATTATTATAATGGCTTATAATATTAATATTTCTAAGAGCTTCCTAGGGAATTTATTAATAAAATTAATAGAAGCTTTCATCAATTCACTTAGACGATTATCTTAATATCAATTTCTTATACTAATAATATAGTTAAAGTTCAGATATATTAATACTTATTTTAATGCTAAATTATAATTATTATCAGTAACCAGTAATAAAAGCTAAATGCTAAATTTATTTATAATTACAAAAGCTTTAGTTAATTATATTGATCTTATTATATATTAAAAAAAATTAAAATATCAAGTTCACTTGCTTCATGAAAACAGCAGTAATGAGTAAATATATTTTTAATACATAATCATCGCGTGCTGAGAGAAAATAGTAACGTGACGATAGAATCTGGAGATAAAAAAAATAATATAAGTTTAGGTTAAAACAAGTACTTAGAAATAAATTATTGAAAATAATAATAACAATAATTTAAAAAAAAATTATTAATGTATTTTCTTCAGAAGTAAGTTTAAGGGTAATTTAAATAAAGCGGGAAGATATAAAAAATAACTTCAATAGATCAGAAAGTTCGAGCTTCTGTTGAATTGAATTTCTATATAGAAAGCATTTACTTAATTCAACAAATCTTTATTTTAATAAATAAAAGCTTTTATTGGAATTAAAAGGGCAAGAGTAATTAATCCATTACTTTTCCATCAAAAACTTTCAAAAACTCTGATTAAATATACATGAATAAAAGCAGCTTATTTTAAAACCCATTCAATTTTCTATAAATTTATCATGAAAATTTCAGAAATTATTAATGTTATTATTTTATTCAGAATATTTATTTTATAATTAAAATAAGTTAATGGAAAAAGATTTTAATTAATATTTCATAAGGATGTACATTTAGTAAAATTATTAAGACTGAGATAATACACTATTATTACTTAAAAACCAAAAACTTATAATTTCTGCTGCTTTTAATATAATTAATTAATCAGTTGCTTAAATTAATTCATACAATAAAAAACATTTAATTATTATTACCAATGGTTTTTATTTACGTCAGAATTTATGAAGAAATTTTTGAAACTATCTAAATTTATTAAATATTTTGTGTTGTTAATTTTTAGTTTTATTTCATTTCTTCTTTCATACTAAGCTTCACCAAATTAAAAGTAATAAACAAATTAATATTATTTTAGTATTAAAATTCAGTAGAATAAGTTTAAAAAATAATCTTTATAAGATCAGACACTAACGACATAAATAATAACTTAATTTTGTTTATTATATGAAGTTATGTTAATTATATCAAAAACTTGAGAGAGTACTTAATTACTAAGTATTTAATTCAACACTTAACTTTATATTATTTCAGTTAAAATTATTTGAAGAAACTTATATAGACCTAAAAAAAAAATTTTACATGATTCAAGTAAATAATTTTGAAGAAATTGATTTGAGTAAAAAAATTCTTTAACTTAGAAATTTGTCTTGGTTTAAGTAAACATTACTCGATTCAAGAATTTTTCGTCTTGATTCAAGACAATTAAACTTTTCAAAATTATTTTTTTGGTTCAAGAATTTTTCTCTTGATTCAAGTTCATTTTTTTTCTTATATATTCTTCCTTATTATTTTAATAAATTTTTTTTTCCTGCAATAAAAAAATGAAAATTAAAATAATAAAAAATTACAATTTAAATAATAAAAAATTATACAATTAAAATAATAAAAAATTACTATAATTTGCAGGTGGATACCCCGCTCCGCCATGAGGCCGGCCGAGGGCGACACGTCAGACTGCATCCTGGTGGTCGGCGTGTCACGGCCAAAGTTAGCAGCGGCCTTTCTACTGGTAGCCCTAGTCTCGCTCTTCCTAACCTTCCACATCCTCTACGACAGCGCCGTCTACAGTCTCGACGCGGCGGCATCAGTCTTCGACTCATCGGACGAGCTGGCGACGAACCAGCTCGAGCCAGCGCCGCCTCGTCGCCTCCAGCCGTCCTTGTCTTCGCAGCAGGCCAACAACCTTAAGGTCCTCGTCCCTCCACCAAGTCTAGTCAGCAAGGCCCACTTTTCACGCACAAACCGGCACCTCCCGCAAGCCATTATCGTTGGAGTGCGCAAGTGTGGAACTCGTGCTCTGTTAGAGATGCTGTTCCTTCATCCCCAGATCCAGAAAGCCGCCGGGGAGGTTCATTTCTTCGACCGCGACGACAACTATGAGAAAGGTCTAGAGTGGTACAGGAAAAAAATGCCCTATTCACTCAAGGGCCAGATAACTATTGAGAAAAGTCCTAGTTATTTTGTTACACCTGAGGTAAATAAATACTTTTTTCGATCAAGATGGTTTCGTTCATAAATAATGAAGAAATATTTAAAATTATTACTATTATTATTATTATTATTAATTAATTAATTAAAAAGCAAAAATTTGCACAAAATGGTGATAAAATAGAAAATAGGAATAAGATTGATATTTATTTATTACTACCGTTGAAAAAAAATGTTCTTTTATTGATATTTATTCGTATTAACTAATTTATCACAATATTGTGTAAAATTGTGTATAAACTAAGTAAAAAAGGCTTTTTGGCACTCGTGAGTTAGATAGTCAATAAGTGGTAAAAATCTTCAAAAATTTGAATTTCCCGCAATTATATAATTTGAATTTTTGCCGCGCGGTGCCATTTCGTGTCATCGGCCATTTTGACTAGTACTTTGACCAACAACTTAAACCTAATAAATTCCCTCAAAAAACTTGATTTATAATTGATATAGATGTTTGAAATTTAAAAAAAATTTTTCTGTAATAATTTCGTAAATTTAATATAATTTCATTTTATTAAAATTAATATAATATTAATAACAGTTTTAATATGTCGTATTTTATAAAAATTTAAATTTCCCGCTATTTTTAATTTTGAATTTTTGCGGCTTTGCGCCATTTCGTGTCATCGGCCATCTTGACAAGTACTTTGACTAATAACTTAAAACTGACAAATTTTCTCAAAAAACTTGATTTGTAATATTGATATTGATATTTAAAACTTTAACAAACTTTTTCTTCAATTCTTTATATTAAATTTAATATAATTTCATTTTTAAAAAATTACTAAATATCAATAAAAGTATAAGTCTGTCGCATTTTTAAAAAATTAGAACTTCCCGCTATTTTTAAATTTGAATTTTTGTGACTTGTGCCATTTTGCGTCATCGGCCATCTTGACAAGTACTTTAGTTAAAGTAAATTATATAAATTCTTGTAAAAAACTCGATTTATAAATGATATAGATATTTTAAATTTTAAAAAAATTTTTCTGTAATAATTTTGTAATTTTAACATAATTACATTTTTAAAAAATTACTAATCATCAATAAAAGTTTCAATAAGTCGCATTTTATAAAAATTTAAATTTCCCGCTATTTTAAAATTTGAATTTTTGCGGCTATGCGCCATTTCGCGTCATCGGCCATCTTGACAAATACGTTAGCTGAATTAAAATTATATAAATTTCTGTGAAACACTCGATATATAAAATTAATATTAATAATTTATGAAACTTTCAGGTCCCGGAAAGAATAAGAGCAATGAACGCGAGCATAAAACTGCTGCTGATAGTCCGAGAACCAGTAACGAGAGCGATATCAGACTACACGCAACTGCGAACACGAGTGTCTACAACATCAACATCCTCAGCAGTGACAACATCCTCAACGTCATCTTTATCATCATTAGCACGACCTCCAGGAGCAGGCGGAATCCTAACCCCGACTTTTGCCGAAGAAGAGAGTCAGCGCGGAGCAGCGTCGAGTCGGACCTTCGAAGAGCTGGTTTTAAGGCCCGACGGTAGTATAAATGAGTCCTATCGACCTATAACGATCTCCCTCTACCACAACTACATGCACCGATGGCTGGAGGTATTTTCACGGGAACAAATTCTGGTTGTTAACGGGGATCAGCTTATTGAGGATCCATTGCCCCAGTTAAAACGGATTGAAACGTTCCTCGGTCTGGAGCCCCGTATCGGTAGGCATAATTTTTATTTTAATCACACCAAGGGTTTCTACTGTCTGCGTAACGACACTGCGGACAAATGTCTGAGAGAGAGCAAGGGCAGAAAACATCCCCGTGTTAATCCCCTCGTCGTTTCTAAACTCAGGAGGTTCTTCAATGAACACAATCAACGGTTTTATGAACTCGTCGGCGAGGATCTCGGCTGGCCGGAGGAATAACATTTTTATTTTATTTCTGACGCTGGATTTATTTTTTATAAGTGGAGACTCGGAAACATTAAAATTTTTATTTTATTTTAATATTAATTTCATTTTTTTTGGAGAAAAAATTTTTTAAATTAAACTGAAAAATTTTTTTACAGACATTTAATCATTTTATAAATTTTTTTACGTAAATTATTGTAAAAATAATTTTTTAACAAAAAAATTATCAAAAATTAAGTCTATAATTTTTTTATACAAAAATTTATTTATTATTAGAAATTTTAATGTTTTAATTCGTTGAAAAAAATTGCAAAAGTAAAAAAACGTACAGTTGCTAAAATCCGCCGCTAGGCGTCGCATGGTTGGAAATTTCGCGCGCTAATAGAAAGTTATAAATAAAATATAAATAAATTTTTATAAAAAAAATTTTAGTGTTTTAAAAAAGTAAAATTTAATTTTTTTTATTTTATAATTAAAAAAGAATAATTTTTATAAAATTTCTAAGTTTTTGAAAATATTTTATTTTAAACAAAAAAAATTATCAAAAATTGAGTTTGTAATTTTTAGAATTTTTTTTTATACAAAATTTATTTATTATTAAAAAATTTAATGCTTAAACCGGTTGAAAAAAGAAAGGCAAAAAAAAACGTACAAAGTTACGGAAATTCGCCGCTAGGCGTCGCATGGTCGGAAATTTTACGCGCTGATAGAAAGTTATAAATAAATTTTTGTAAAAAAAATTTTAGTGTCTTAAAAAAGTAAAATTTAACTTATTATTTTATAATTAAAAAAAGAATAATTTTTATAAAATTTCTAAGTTTTTAAAAATTTTTTTTTTTTTTAACAAAAAAATTATCACAAATTAAGTCTGTAATTTTTTAAAATTGTTTTACACAAAAATTTATTTATTATTGGAAATTTTAATGTTAAAATTGGTTGAAAAAAATTTAAAAATGAATAAACGTACAAAGTTGGTAAAATTCGCCGCTAGGCGTCGCATGGTTGAAAATTTTGCGCGCTAATAGAAAGTTATAAATAAAATATAAATAACTTTTTGTAAAAAAAATTTTTAGTGTCTTAAAAAAGTAAAATTTAACTTTTTTTAATTTTATAATTAAAAAAAGAATAATTTTTATAGAATTTTTGTTCTTAAAAATTTTTTCTCTGAAAATTTAATTTTTTTTAGTAAAAAAAAAATTTTATTACAAAACAGGAAGATAATTTTTTTGATTACCTACAATTAAACAAAAAGTATTTAAAAAAAATCAATAAAAATAATTTACGACTTTTAGTAATCACAACCGCATAATTATTCAAATTATGCAGTACTGTTATCTATTTTCGCTCGTAAACTCGGAATTTTATGTAAAAAAAAAAAAAAATTTCTAAAATTTCGAGTCTCCATTTGTTAATATAATTAAAAAAAGTCACGCAATATAAATATAACCAGTCAATTACTAAGTCTTTACCCGAAAAGCCAACTAATTAAATAACAAAAGCGAAGAATCCAGCGTAGCACGCAAATTGAATTTTTAATCAGCATTAACTCTTACCGGCGTCAGTAATGCGATAATAATCTTTAATAAGTTAAAAAAGGTATAAATAGTTCCGAGTAGAGCTGGAGTATGAGTATGTTCCATGGAAATAACACATAACACTAGAGGATGCTCGCTCTGCCGTGTAATCAATGTTATGTCACGCAGACAACCGACAACGACGACAGACGTGCCAGGTCGCCGTAAATGTATTTAATAGTTAATGAATAACTTGATAAGTCTAATAATAAGAATAAAAATAGTGTAAGAAACTGTCAGAACTTGGAATCGATCTCCGTGGATCACATTGGTCCGTAGATCTTAAGGTTAAAGTTAATAACAGATTTAATATTTTTATAATCCACATTGGAACGTTGTTATATCGTTGACTGCTTGTGTGAATGTCGGTAATTTATAAAATTTTAAAAAAATTTATAAAATTCAAAAAAACACCAAAAAAATTTGTGTCTCTTAGGAATTAGTTCATTTGTTGCAAATTCTTTTTATATTTACTAAAAATTATATAAATTTATTTTCTTTTTATAAATTTATAGTATCATTATCAATTTTAAGTTAAAATTGTTTTAAATTATCAATTTTTAATGCAAAGTATCATTTTTCTGCAGATTTACGGGTATTTAAAGTTAACCTGCGCAGTTCCCTGCGCAATACATGTTCCGCGAGTTCTCTTACTCCCTCTAGCGCTAAAAAAGTTAACTTAAACTTTCTACCAATTATAAATTCACTAAAACAAAAATTTGTATTTTTAATCAATTTAATTTATGAATTTTGTCATAATTTACCTTAAAAAAATATTAAATTATCATTTTTAAATGTAAAATTTTATTTTGCAGCAGATTTAAGGTTAGTTGGAACAATATAATCTTGGTACAATATAATTTTTTTTGAGTCCCTCTAGAGCCAGAACTGTTAATTCTTCAATTTTTTTATTATTTAAGCAGTCGGTAAAACAGAAAAAATTTTTTTTTGATCATCAATTAGAACTTATTAATTAAAATTAAGATTTTTAATTAAATGCAAAATTTCATTTTTTTCCAGATTTATAAACAATGAAAATTAAGCAATACAGTTCCTGGAACAAGACAAGTTCCGCGAGTTCTCTGAGTCACTCTAGCACTCTATATTTTAACTTTAAATTTTTCATTAATTAAAAATTATTTTATAAAAATTTAGATACATTGTATTTATATCAAAATTTAGATACAATTAACAATGTATTTAAATTGTTAAATTATAAAAGCTAAATATCATTCTTCTGCAGTTCCTAGAACAAGATAAGTTCCACGAGTTCTCTGACTCCCTCTAGCGCTCTAAATTTCAACTTTGTAGTTTTTACACCGTTTAGACATTCAGTAAAACAAAAATTTTTATTTCTTGTTATCAATTAAAATTTATTTGATCAAAATTTAGATTTTTAAATTGTTTAATTGTAAATTTTCAATGCAAAATATAATTTTTTTGCAGATTTGTAGAAAGTTTTCTGCAGAAAGCGATTATGTAGGTGAAGTTCCTGGAACAAGACAAGTTCCACAGGTTTTATGACTCCCTCTAGCGCTAAAAATTTTAATTTTTTAACCTCTGCAAAGTTATTACAGTCAGTAAACCAGAAATTTGTATTTTTTATCATCAATATCAATTTAATTCACAAAATTTATCAAAATTTACTTTCCAAAAATATTAAATTCACAATTTTTAATACACTTACAAGTGTTTTAAGTCAACCGACGCAGTTCCTGGAACAATTACAGTTTTTTAAGTCCCTCGAATGCTCTAAATTTAAACTTTGTAATCTTTACACCGTTTAGACAGTCGGTAAAACAGAAATTTGTATTTTTTTATCATAAATTAAAACTTATTTATCAAAATTTAGATATTTAAATTGTTAAATTATAAATTTTCAATGCAAAATATAATATTTTGTAGACTTGAAAGTAATTATGTACGTTAAGTTCCTGGAACAAGACAAGTTCCACGAGTTCTATAACTCCCTCTAGCGCTAAAAATTTCAACTTTTTAACCTCTTTACAGTTATAACAGTCAGTAAAACAGAAATTTGTATTTTTTATCATCAATATTAATTTTATTCATGAAAATTTACCTTCCAAAAATATTAAATTAACTATTTTCAATGCACTTACAAGTGATTTAGGTTAACCGACGCAGTTCCTGGAACAATTATAGTTTTCTGAGTCCCTCTAGCGCTAAAAATATCAACTCAAAAGCCTTCAGACGAACTAAAGGTTCTTCAAAATAAAATCTAGAGTTATAATAATGGTAAATCACAAAAAATCTATTCCTTTTTTGTCATTTTTAAGAACTAAAACAGTTTTGTCGATACTGCAGCTTCTTTTATTATAAAAAAAAATGATTTATGAAAGTTCCGGATAAAATATTACAGAAAAATGTATAATTTAAGTAAAATTAAATAGAATTTGCAACAGTATTATAAACAAGAGCTCAAAGGCTCGGTTATTTATCATAATTTATGAGTCTGTGATCTGAAAAGCTTCGCCGGAAAAGTTTTCGAGCACAATAGGCGTTTTACGGTTCACTTTTTATTCTTTCTGTCCCGGATAACAAAGGAGGAGGATAATGAAGACATTTATTTATTAATTGGGCGTATTGACGGGGTTTAATGCAAGGGCCGACGGGGGGAGAATAATAAATTATTGCGGACTAGGACATTTGTAAGGACGTGCAAGGGCTATCGATTAGACGTCACTCGTTAAACGTCGAGACTTTTTCAGGCTATTTTCCTCTGATGGAATTTATTTTTCTTTTCCTTTTTCAGCGCTTTTATTAGATCATACTGTTATGTTATGGTGGATATTATTTGATGTTATATATTACCCATTTGTCGTCGGCTGTTAGGGGATCGCTTGATTGTATTTTCGCTTCTTTATTCAATCATCTAATTTATATCGACCGCTCTGATTTACATCGCCCTGCAATTACGGTTATACAATTATTCTTTCTGTCATTTTATTAATAGATTCATTAAATCATTTTTTTTTGAATTATCAAAAATGTTTTTTTTTTATTTCTATTCATTAATAATCAATGAAATTCATGATTTTTTTTTTATTTTAAAAAATTTTGCAATTTTTATCTTATAATAATTTTTTTTTATTTAAGCCATACAATTTTTGTTAATATTTAAGTTCAAAGTTTAATTTTAAACTTAAAAAAATCTTAAATTGATTGAAATTATCGTATTTATTTTACTACATGCGAGAAAGACGCTACCGTGCGCCACCTAGCGGTCAATTTCAAAACTAACTTTTTTTTTACACTAACTACAACAAACTATCACGAATATTTAATATTTTATCCAAATTCATAAGTTTTTTCATCAAAAGTTAATCAAGAGAATTATTTTTCTTATAATAATTATTTAATTTCTTTCCAATTTTTTTTGTAAAGAATTGATTAATAAATTAATTTTAACCTAGCCATATA